CCCGGGGGTGGGGGGGATGCTGTATTTGGGATCTGACACAGGCCTCGGTCGGATTACTTGGCGTGTAATGTTTCTCTGTTACCGCTCAGTTTCAAAACGGCTGTGATGGAGTGATCGGATGTTAATTGTTTAAAGAAAGAGCTGTGGAAGTCAGTCCCGGTATTGCAGCGTTTTGTATCATACTATTAAGGATGATCTAGCGCTGGCAAAATAACTGGGAGCTGCTTAATACTGGGAGGCGCTTTCTTTTCAGAAGAAACGCTTAGAATGATGGAGTGAGTGCTTGTAGGTGTTTAGATCAACTTGCAAACGTATTTTTTTCTCTTCCTAGCTGTTGCCGATGCAATTAGAACAAGCCTTGGACCAAAGGGAATGGATAAAATGGTAAACCTTATACTTAAATCTTTAAAACATTAAGCTTACTGGTGATCCTGTAAAGTCAACGTGTTTTATATAGGATGCCGTGTTTTGCCTTGAACATATTTTCCAAGTTCCATTTATTTCAGGGAAAGAGGGAGTTAAATGCACATCTCTGTTTGAGAAATAATGTTGTCCGGGAAAATATTTTACGTTGAGTATCAAATGAAATTAAAGATTTGTAGTTACTGATCAGAACTACGTTTCTACTCTTCCTTCTCAGATTCAGGATGCTAAAGGAGACGTGACAATCACTAATGACGGTGCTACTATTCTGAAACAAATGCAGGTTCTGCACCCGGCAGCCAAAATGGTAAGTCTTTTTTTCCGTTGCTCGGACAATGGTGTGTGTTAGAGCTTAATTTCTGGGACAAAAAAAAACCGAGTAACATTTCACGTGGATTTGAGGAGCGTTACCCACTAGTGATAGAGTAAGAAATTCTGTGCCGCATGCTCCAGGACTACATATTTTAATTGTAAGATGTGCTGAAGCATTTCAAGTCCTTATTTCTTATCCGGTATTCCTTATGCATAATCCCTCTGGACATGTTTTAAGACATAAAGGAATCTAGCCCAAACCTTCGTCTCCTACCTAAGAAGGAAAAGTCAGTGATGTCCCAAACTGCTAGTACAGAAGAGAATGAAAGAAGAGAGTGAATTACATTGTGGTCAGGTGGTCTGAGGACACAGTGGCCTGGTCTTTTGAGAAGTTACATGTAGACCTCTTAGATTTGATTGTGGTTGGAGATGGAAATGAGGTTCCCGTGACCCTCCTACAGGAAAGGAGAAGGTAGGCCTGTTCGATAGGCGTGGTCAGTTTTAAGCTTGGGAGAAAAGCTTCCTGACTTCTGTGATTTCTTTCACAGTAATTGTACTTCGCCAAATAGGTGTACAAGTATGGAAAGCAAGGTGCAAAAGGTACCAACTTCAAATTAGAAAAGGCGTGATTAGTCCTGATACTAAGATTGATTTCGGTAGTGCTGCATTCTTGAATATCTCCTTTTTTCGGTAACTGTCGGCGTTTGCAATTAAGTAGCATTATATATAAACTTTTGCCGTAATTTGTCATGCAGTTGGTAGAGCTGTCAAAAGCACAAGATATTGAAGCTGGTGATGGCACTACATCTGTGGTTGTCATTGCTGGAGCTCTTTTGGATGCCTGTTCCAGACTTCTTCAAAAAGGTAAATACACATCTTTAATATTAAAAACATGACTGGAGGTAGTTACGTCTATCCACTTGCACGTGTATAATGAAGCTTAAAGTAGCTGTTCCCGGTTTAAACGTGAAAGGTGACTCGAGTCTTCACATTCAGGTTTCACTCGTGTGCCACTTTCGATTAAAAATCTGTTCAGCTTTTTACTTTGAGTTGAATGCGTTACCGTTGATACAGGAAGTAGTGCCTAGATGATGCGATGAACGTTGCCGTGTAAAAACTCACCTTGAGTATACTTGTACTTCTCTCGTGGGCAGAGAGATAGCGTGAGAAGGTATCAGTGAAATTTGGAACCAGTGATTTCTGTGGGTTTTTTTATACTCGGCAAGTTTATCACCTCCTGTCACTTCCTAAATAGGGTCCTTGAGAAACTTCTTCAGAGTTCTTTTTTGTCTCCGATTTGGACTTTACAGCGGTTCACTTGCACTTGGCTCACCTTGATACACACCATTTTGCTTGTTGTCCTCTTTGTGACCCCTGCCAAGCGTTTGCTGTCCGCTTCCTTTCCCGGTACTGGTGGTACCCGCGCGTTCTGTTTAAGTGTTCCTCGCAGCCAGGAACAGTCTGACCCAGCAGCGCTACTGGAAGCTGCTACCATGGTCAGGACCAGCAGCGTGGCGTCCTCTACCACAAGAGGTAGTTCGAAGACGCCCGCTTTGAAGAGATCAAGGGTGTATCACACACGCCAGAGAAATCGGGGAACTTCACACACCACTGTGGGAAAACAGCCTTTGAAAATCTGAAATAAAATCGCTGTCGGGCTCCTTGCAGGTATTACCTGAACAGCGGCAGCTTTAAGAACGCCAAGGATAAACGAAACTTGAAGAAAGCATGTTTCTGGGATGTCTGACGTTGCAGGGAAGTGTGCTGTACTTGTCTGTGTGGACAAATTATTAGGAACATTGTAGCTTTTTTCCTCAGCTTTAACAGTGGAAAGTAATAAGGGAAGTCATCTACTCTTGAAGAACACATTTTGCTAAAATGTCTTCAGTTTATTCTGACACGAGAGTCTCTCTAATCTTGAAATGGAAAGAGGGGCTGAGGAAAAAACAACAAAAAAACACTAGTTTGAAAGCGTGACTGTCTAACAACCTTTTTATACTATCCCCAGGAATTCACCCCACCATCATTTCAGAGTCATTCCAAAAAGCTTTGGATAAAGGTATTGAAGTATTGACCAACATGGCGCAGCCAGTTGAACTGAGTGACAGAGAAACCTTGCTAAATAGTGCAACTACGTCGCTGAATTCAAAGGTATGACTGACAGGTGAACTCGGTACCTCCAGACTAGCTGAGCCTTCAGCTCTTCCCAGTCCGTGCTGCTGTGCGCTTATTAAGAATAGCCTGCAGATCATAAATCTAGTTGGTTTTCAGACATTGGCTACCTTCTCTTAGACTGACTTTTCAGAAAGCTATGGTTGATTGAGATTAAATGGAAGCCCTCAAACTGAGTTTCAGTCTGAAATATCAAATGTTAACTGCAAGCGTAAAATAAACCAGCTTCAACTGAAAACAGCGCCAAAAGAATCAGGTGGGATACTGAGAGCTTTTGCCAACTTTCTGTGTAGGCAGTTCTTGTTCGTGTGGCAGAAACTCTTAAAACAGCATCGAAATCTGGAGAAGCGTGCTAGTTTCCCTTCCAGCAGAATAATCTGGGAAGCTCTCACAAGTCTTATTTTAAGAGTCTAAGAAAGAGAAATTCAGGTTTCTTCCCTAAGTCCCTAAGCATCAGTTCTCCCCCCAACATAGCTGCTCTTTCCTTTAAATGGAGTAGCCGTTAAGAAGATACCACGTTAAGACATCTGGTTGATGGACAGGGAGGGAAAATGAGCTTGGTTTCAAAATTCAGAAGTCAAAACACTGAAATACGACGACAATATTATTTTCAAATTACTGGTTGTCAGTGTTAAATCTCTCACCGTTTTTCTTTTTTCTTTCCTATCAAATCCCTTAGGTTGTGTGTCAGTATTCTAGTTTACTCTCTCCAATGAGTGTGGACGCAGTGATGAAGGTGATTGACCCAACTACAGCTAGTAGCGTGGACCTCAGAGATATTAAAATTGTTAAGAAGTTGGGGTAAGAAACAATTTGTAACTAGACGGATTTTGTCTCTGTGAGGTCAGCTTCCCAACGTGAGTCATGGGTTGTTTTTGTTTTCAGAGGCACGATTGATGATTGTGAACTGGTTGAAGGACTAGTCCTGACTCAGAAGGTGGCAAATACCGGCGTAACCAGAGTGGAAAAAGCCAAAATTGGCCTCATTCAGTTCTGCTTGTCTGCTCCAAAGACAGATGTAAGTTAAACTGTATGACTAGAGCGAAACCTTTTGCGTAGTACTTGGGAGATGCAAAGGTAATGATAACGCTTTTTTTTTTTTTAAGGTGTTGGGATGTCAGCTCTATTCCACAGCTGTAATGAAACTGCTGGGTAATGCATAGATACTCATAACTCTTAAAGAACTTACAGTTGGGATAAGAAAATAGTTCAAAAGTCCAGTATTTCTCATCATTTAAACAATCTCTAATAAGACATATTTTACTGTCGTGCTTATTTGCTTTGAATCACAGGCTCCTAAATTAAAGAACGTGGAACATCTTGACACTTGCTTTTCAAGTTGGCAGTTGTTAGTAATACTTGCTTTTCTCTTTTTTTTTTTCTTTTCCTTTTTTTTTTTGCCCAAAATAGATGGACAACCAGATAGTTGTTTCTGATTATGCTCAGATGGACAGAGTACTGCGTGAAGAGAGAGCCTATATTCTAAATTTAGTTAAGCAAATTAAGAAGGCTGGATGCAACGTGCTGCTGATCCAGAAGTCTATTCTGCGGTATGTTAATACCGATTTACTGGCTTACCGTGTGTGTTTGGGGGAGCAATTGGAATTGTTTGGAATACCTGGAAAATTGAAGCCCAATGCTAACAGCCACACTTGGCAGAGTGTCAGACTGGCTGTAACGGTGACCGTACCTTTAGAAAGCACTAGTGTCATCTACGTTTTGAGGTTAATGACATCCCTACTTTGTAGTCTGAAGAACTTTGGCACTGCTGGTAAGAAGCATGCAGCTGGCTAGTATGACCCGCTTACTAAAATAGCGCTGTGGACTGACTACTTCCCTCTTGTTTTTAGGGATGCTCTTAGCGACCTAGCCCTCCACTTTCTGAACAAAATGAAGATCATGGTGGTTAAAGACATTGAAAGAGATGACATTGAGTTTATATGTAAGGTGAGTTACATAAATGGCTGTTAAAGAAGGAGCGGTGTTTACAGTCTACCCCAAAACTAAGTACCCAGCGAGTGCCAGTTTATTATGACGTTTCCACGAGTTTCGTGTTCTGACTATAACGTAAGAGCAGACATTTCCCTAAAAAACACTCCTGTTCTGTTGAGCAGTCACATTTCTAGAAAGATTGGGGACAGATGTAAAAGCCATAGTCTTAACTGCATTTTACTGTAACGTGCAGAAGAATGTTATGCAGTATACTTGCTGACTCTGCAGTTCGGGTTCTGGATTTTTTTTTCCCTATTATTTTTTCAGACAATTGGAACTAAGCCCGTTGCTCATATTGACCAGTTTACTCCTGATATGCTGGGGTCTGCTGAGCTGGCAGAGGAGGTCAACTTGAATGGGTCTGGGAAACTAATAAAGGTGAGTGAGTGACAAAACGTTAATACCTACTTAACATCTGCCAATTATTTTAATAACAGCCGCTAACTTTAATGGTTTTTTACTACTGAAGTTACGACATTTAAGTACCTCCTCTAATCTCTTGAGTAGCCACCGACTTGGGAAGTGTAGTGGTTTTGCTTAGCCGGATATCAGTACTGTTACAGAACTTGCAAATACCAACTGAAGTCTCTTTTTGTCCAGAACCTTTTTTTTTCTTCCCCAGTCTTAGTATTTGGTTTTATGTTTTAGATTACGGGCTGCACAAACCCTGGAAAAACTGTAACCATCGTGGTACGTGGATCCAACAAACTTGTTCTAGAAGAAGCTGAGCGTTCAATTCATGACGCCCTGTGTGTCATAAGATGCTTAGTTAAGAAAAGGTAATGTCTCAGTTTGGTTAGGGTAATTTATTATATTAATAATGCAGAAAGCTAATCATTTACGCACTTATGTAAAATGAGGTTTGATTTTTTTTTTTTTTTTTTTTAATTTCTGTCCTCAGAGCTTTAATTGCAGGAGGTGGGGCACCGGAGATAGAGTTGGCACTGCGCTTGAACGAGTACGCTCGCACTTTGAGGGGTATGGACTCGTACTGCGTCCGTGCGTATGGAGATGCACTGGAAGTCATACCGTCTACGCTGGCTGAAAATGCAGGTCTCAATCCTATTTCAACGGTAACAGAGCTGAGAAACAGACATGCTCAAGGAGAGAAAACAGCTGGCATTAACGTCAGAAAGGTAACAAGGAATTGTATATGCATAGCGCAGCTTAAGAAAATACTTGGGCATTAAAAGGAAAATGCTTAGCGTGAGGGCTAAGCTAAGGAGAGGGCAAGTTTGTCTCTCGTAACGGTATTCACCCTAAAATTAGTGTTGAGGTAGATCATAGCTTGTTCTCTGAGGCTTTAACAGCTTATCCTGAGTATGGGTAATAGCAGATACTTAAATGCCCTACCCACAGGACAAGAAACTTCCTGTGTCTCTTCAAAAACATTATTTCAGCTACAAAAATCGATCCATTTAGAATGATCCATCAGTATTATCTGCAGTGGAAGGTGCTCGTATGTTACAAGTAGCACAGTGGGCTAGCTTCTTTTAAATTGCCACCATGTTCAAGCTGGTGTAACTACGTTTGTCTTGTCTCTTGGCTAATTTTGACTGGATTATGTCAAGTGCTTGAAGGGGGGAAGATGCGTACCATAATAGTCCAGTTGAGGATGGAAGAGCGCAAGCCTTCTGATCATCTAATTTAGAGTTGGCACTCCTTCTCAAGGTTCCACTAAAAGAAAACTTGCTAAATCTAACTGCAGTCTGACTTGCACAAAGTAAAAGCTACTTGTTCTCGCAGGGTGGCATTTCCAACATCTTGGAGGAGTTAGTTGTCCAGCCGCTGCTGGTGTCTTTGAGCGCATTGACTCTTGCAACAGAGACTGTGCGCAGCATTCTTAAGATTGATGATGTGGTGAGTAGTGTTTGCATCATGTTGTGGTTAATCTTTTTTTTTTTTTTTTTTTTTTACAAGCAGCAGGATAGTTATTGTCATCTAATTTGCTGTGCTTCAAAATACGGTTATTGTGCAGCATTGTCAGTTTACATGCGACTTAAACCACTTGGCCTTCTAATAACTGCAATGGGAACAAAATGAAACGCATTATAAATGCTGTACCTTAAAGTAAGGGGTTAAGACAGTGACTAGAAAACCAGTCTTTAAACTCCTCTTTAAGCAGAGGAGAAGTAATTGTTGGGTATCCTGGGGACTTCTTAAGCCTGATTGTGTGAACTCTTCTTTGCAGGTGAACACTCGGTAAGCTGAGCAAAGAAAGTGGGGACTGTGGCCTAGAGCTCCTTCCCTGTAGTCTGGAATATGGCTTCCTTAATTTAAAAAAAAAAAAAACACTTCTGTTTTCAAAAAGGAAATGCTGTTTATCAATAAACACGCAGTAGTCTACCTGAGTCTTTACCTTATTTCTAGCAAAATTATAAAGCAAACTTCTTGTTACATTTGCTTTTCTGTGCTACATGCTCCACTTAGCTCTGAAGTTTAATAGCAAGTAATTAGCTCTTGTAATACATTCTAAAACCACGCCTGAATTTGCGCTCTAGTAACCTGCTAGCTTAGAGCTGCTTCTCTAAAGGTTTTCCATAATGGAGTGGTATTACTTCCCCTAACTGTGACCGGCTCGAGCGAAGGGGTGTTGTGGCAGCGACAGCACATCAGAATACGACCACAGGCCTTGCTCCGTTTAGTCTCCTGAAGGCCGCAGTGGTTTCTGATGCCATCCCATGATCCAGAGCATTACGAAGGGCAGTCTTTACGTGCAGCTTTTGGTACTTCACCCAACAGTGACGTGTGAGTGTCAAAACTAAACCTAGTTGTAAAAAGGGAAGGATAACGTTACTATAACTGGGTTTCTATAGTCATAGGGATTTATTTAAAATCAGTTTTGGATAAGAGGTGCGTCTCTGAAACAGTTGTAACTGTCCTTTTAGTCGCTTCCATCATGGTGGTGTTCAACTCCCCGTTCCGTTTAGGAAAACGCCAGGAGTGAAGTTTTTGGACAGTTTAATCCACACACCTCCCTCCCACCCCCCCAAATTAGTTGGTTTTCCCAAAACTGGCTGAGAAGTCAAAAAGTAATAATGCAAATTACACTTTTTTAAAACAAGTCATAAACTATACATTAAAATCTATGATTACCTGAAGGAAATGGGTACCCCTTGGTGTCGCCGCACCTCAGTGCCTTAGCTAGTCACCTCATTAGGGTGAGCTGTAATACGGGGGTTCTCAACTCCCGGGAACATCCCAGCTGCCCCAGGATTCATTCACTTTAGAGCTAATTTGTTCTTAATGTTACATTTCATAGTTTAGAATAAACATTTTTTCAACTTGTAATTCTTAGCCTGAAATCTTGAATTAACCCTTTCATCTTCACTGCTGTACTGAATAGCCAGATTCCTCTTTATGTCTAAAGGAGAGTATTTCTTTCATGACTCTCTAACTTGCATTTCTATTTACAATCGGTCAGATCTGGAGCTTTTGAGTAAACTTCCACCACACTGTTGACCAGCTAGTGTTGAAATACTTTCCTATGACTTAGTTATTTAAGTCAAGCATTCAGAATAATTCAAATACTAAAAACTAGACAATCGATTTAGGCATCAATGCTCTGCATGAATTATTTATTGGCTGTTTAAAATTACAAATGATGCCTTACCCCACAGGGTTACATCCAACAATGATCTCTCTTCGTTTAGATACTGACTTTGAGTAAAGCTTTTCTTCCCCATCATCACAAACTTCCAATTCTTGACAAGACTTACAGCAACTAGTGTGCAGTTTAATCTTCTCATCCGTTTCTTTACATAAAAAATATTTGTAACTTCACTACAAGAAATAGGTCCATCAACCATTCGTGCCTCTCTGCAGAGGTGGGGGAATATTCCTGCTGATCCTGGTTTACCCTTATTCTGTAATTGCTTATCTGAAGTACAAACTTGTAAGAAAGGAGAAGCTTCTTTAATAACGAGGGAGTAAAAAAACACGGGCTTGTCAAGGAGAGAGAATTACACGTTCCAACTAAAATCCTGCAAGAAGTCACCTAAAAATCGGTACGGGGAGCATCCAGACGAACGCGGCAGAGCGCAAGCGCTGCAGATGCAGGCAGGCGGTGGA